AGCACCTGGAGAATGGAGTTCATGTAACACGTGTTCCCGAGGTTGCGCAATCCCGTGACTCCAGGCGCAGGCTTCCTGCGCCGCGACGACTGTGAGGCGTGATATCGGTGCAACCGACCCGCATTACGAAGCGGTTTGCGCGACAGGGGCTTGTTGGACAGCGACAGCAGGGACTGTTTGGGAGCCGAAGGGAGTCGTTCCGGAGGATCACGGAACTTCCGAGGAATAAGTGCGAGTGTCGGACGAGGAGCCTGAGTGAGAAGCCGTGCGCTTTTCCTCGGTGGCACATTGGCTAGTTCGCCCATCAGCCGCTTCTTGACTTCCATGCGTTGCCGTCGCTTCTCCTCTCGCTCTTGCTCCTGTTTCTCCTCACGCTTCCAGTGTTGCTCCTGCTGTCGGCTCCTCCAGCGGTGCAAGGCACCTTGGAGGAGAGTTTTCCGTCTGTGCCACAACGCCGTCTGCATAGCGCCGTCCCTCGAAACCTCGCACACTCGAAGTCCGTCATCGGACACCGATGAACGCAGGGAGCGCTGACCAGGGCTGCGGACGGTAGATAGCGCTCCGCGAAGGAGCTTCAAGTCGCCCTCAACATTATCGTTCAACACGTAATCGCCGCACGCGAAACAGAAGACGTCCAGTTCGCGTACGTCCATGGCTAACGAGTGCTGCGTCTGCTGGTAGTGACTCCGGGAGTGTTCTTCCATGTAGCGGCCACACGCCACGTGAGCGCACTTCAGACAAGCCCATACGGACTCCGTGGTGCCGCAATCAGCGCAATGCCACATCTGCGGGTTGAGGATGGAGTGGCCCTGGCCCAAACGGAACCGTACCACATGCTTACAGCGATCCATGTCTCCCAACACGCAGGAGCACTCCGAGTCAGGAACCACACGCCATGACCGCACTCATCCTAAGAACAAGATAACAATGTTAGTAAGTTACCATTTTAAGTACGTAATGCTTTACTCCTGACAAAGACGACTGACGGCTTTCGCATCGCATAGTTCTAGGAACTTGGTTATTTTCCTGGTTGCATTCAGGAACTCTGAAGCGGCCGACAGCGACTACTTTATTTGCGGCATTTACAAACATCAACAACTAGGGCTGGGACAATAAATCGATGCATCGCGAATCAAGTAATTGTTCTGCATCGATTCTGAGATTATCGGAATGCAAAGCGATTCTCTCTTGAATAGATTCTGAGCTTAGTTTTTAACAGCAGATGGCGCTGCATGCTTTAGAAACCACTGTACTCTGCTTGCTCCCAGTTCCCGACACACACCACTTGAACATAAAATAATAATTCACAGTTTGAAAAGGTTGTAGGGAGTTACAAGGTGGGCTGTGTTTACATTAATCTCACGTCATAAAAGCCAAGTAGATTTAACCACAAGGGCTCTTCTTCATGAGCATTTGAGTGTGCGGTTAAATACTAGCCTAGAGCACCATCTACTGTTAAACTAAGCTCAGAATCGATTCCAGAGAGAATCGCGATGCATTCCAATCATCTCAGAATCGATCCACGAACGGCGATGCATCGAGAGTCAGCCCTATCAACAACCGGTGAATGGAGGATGCCGTGAACTTTTAAAAAAATGCTGGGTAACCAGTGTTTCGTAAGCGTTTGGCCAATCGGCGTACACTTACGTCACTGGTAGTTCCTATAGAACGGTTTTAGACCCCGCTCTGAAGTAGGAGCTAATTTATGGCGCTTTTCCACTGCGTGGTACGATTCAGCTCAGCTTGCGTTTCCACAGCAGTTTAGTACCGCTTTAGAGTGGGCGGGATTATTCACATGTCGTTATAGTTGCGCCGCCTCTACTACCGCGACTCCTAAAAAAACGTTTTCATTCCGCGTCGCCCCATCGAGCTCTCGCTGGATCCGCTCCTCTGCTATCAACGAGAGGAGCGTCTGTTCTTCCGCAACAGACAACAAAACTTTTTGGTTAAAAAAAAGGTGTGCTCGTTCAAAACGTTGTGTTCGGTCCTTCGCTGGCTGTGCTGATTTAAATCTAGCGGTTCTTTTGTGTTTGTGTCACAAGTTCAGTGACGCAGGTAGTGCCGATTCTCTCCGGCCAATCCGTGATCAGCAGAGTTTACACGTCACGTTTTGTTAACGGTACGGTACGCTTGGAACCCCAACCGAGGTGGTACTAAAAAAAGTACCAGGTACTGTACCCAGTGGAAAACCCCCAAAAGTGAACCGTACCGTTCCGTGCCGTGGAAAAGCGACATTAGTTCCCCCAAACAGAGTTTCTAGAACTAAATACGTTCCTAGTTCCTGCGACGCGAACACGCCAAAAAGTGGGAACCACATCCGCCAGTAGTTCTAGGAACTATGCAATGCGTCACACTTTTTTTTAAAGCAATATTACTCACTTTGAGAAACGGCGAGTTTCAGCATCAGAGCGGACGTGTCCTGTCGCTGTACAGTTTAAAAGACTCCATCGTGCAGAATGAAAACTGTGGACGAAAAGATGCAAAACTTGAACACACAATTAAATGGTTCCATTCTGGTTTTAAACAGTGTGGTGCTTTATATGATCACGCGTGTGTATGCATGTGTGAGAGTTGTCTGGTTGTGACTATATAGTGTTCTCGACTGAATGTGAATGTATATTTTTCAATATTGTCTCGCAATGCAGTGTGTGTACATGTGTGTGTGTGTGCGTGTGTGTGAGTGTGTGAGAGAGAGAGAGAGAGTGTGTGAGTGAGAGTGTGTGTGTGTGTGAGAGAGAGAGAGAGAGTGTGTGTGTGTGTGAGAGAGAGAGAGAGAGTGTGTGTGTGTGTGAGAGAGAGAGAGAGAGTGTGTGTGTGTGTGAGAGAGAGAGAGAGAGTGTGTGTGTGTGTGAGAGAGAGAGAGAGAGTGTGTGTGTGTGTGAGAGAGAGAGAGAGAGTGTGTGTGTGTGTGAGAGAGAGAGAGAGAGTGTGTGTGTGTGTGAGAGAGAGAGAGAGAGTGTGTGTGTGTGTGAGAGAGAGAGAGAGAGTGTGTGTGTGTGTGAGAGAGAGAGAGAGAGTGTGTGTGTGTGTGAGAGAGAGAGAGAGAGTGTGTGTGTGTGTGAGAGAGAGAGAGAGAGTGTGTGTGTGTGTGAGAGAGAGAGAGAGAGTGTGTGTGTGTGTGAGAGAGAGAGAGAGAGTGTGTGTGTGTGTGAGAGAGAGAGAGAGAGTGTGTGTGTGTGTGAGAGAGAGAGAGAGAGTGTGTGTGTGTGTGAGAGAGAGAGAGAGAGTGTGTGTGTGTGTGAGAGAGAGAGAGAGAGTGTGTGTGTGTGTGAGAGAGAGAGAGAGAGTGTGTGTGTGTGTGAGAGAGAGAGAGAGAGTGTGTGTGTGTGTGAGAGAGAGAGAGAGAGTGTGTGTGTGTGTGAGAGAGAGAGAGAGAGTGTGTGTGTGTGTGAGAGAGAGAGAGAGAGTGTGTGTGTGTGTGAGAGAGAGAGAGAGAGTGTGTGAGTGAGAGTGTGTGTGTGTGTGTGTGTGTGTGTGTGTGCTAACCAGCTAGCGCTACTCACAGAACAAAAGACGCTCCGCCGGGACACACGCGGAATCCGCGGCAGCAGCGGATCCTGGATGTTCCGGTACCGGCGCTCGTTCGGTGTGTTTGTGTGCGTGTTTATACCGGCGCGAGAGACCCGTTACTTTAAACCCGCGGAACAAAACCCAGCATGAGCCGCAGCTACGATATAAACTCGCACCGCAAAGCCACCGAGCGGCTCTCAAATAACGGTCCCTCGCTCGGCGCGAGTCCTCCGCGGAACAGCCGCTGAAACGCGTTAAATGACGGTTAATATTTGCGCGGGGTTTTTTACACTCGCTTCGGGCTGTTATTTACCGCCATCATCCGCACGCGCGAGCTGTCACCATCTTCGGCTCAACCGAACACGCCCAGCGCCGGCGTCACTGCGCTCTGATTGGCCGAGGAGCGATCAATCGCATGACGACAGTGTTCTGATTGGTCGAGACGGCGATCTGTCAGCGTCTGTCGGGCTTTAAAGCTCCGGGGTCAGATGAACAAATCCATAACATGATTATATATATATATTACATTTTATTACAATAATTTAATAACAGTTAACACTTATTATAAGGTTCCCGTTAGTGGGAAAATATACAAGCAAATGAATGTAAACAAAGGTTTAAGTATGGACTTTGCATGCTGAAGTAGCCTACATACAGTACGCTTACCCAGCATGCTTTGCGACTAGTAACATGGGTTTATGGGGAATTCATAGCTGAACATAGATTTACATTTACTGTAGTATCACGTGTCGTGAATGCGTGTTACCCTTGTCGAGCCGTGCAGAAGCAGAATTAAAGAAACGGGCATCCTTGTGATTTGGGTAATGGCCCTTTAAGACCATCCTTCAAGAAAATAACATCGAATTCAAAATATGAACAACAAATATAATGGTATTTTTGTATTAATGGGGTTTTATCCAAATAAAGCAATCACAATCAACAAAAGAGAAGTGATCTGCAAGTGCTACGACAAGTCTCGGTTAGCCTAGCGCAGCGCACGTAGCAAGGCTTCTCGTTATTATATAATAAATAAAAAAGAAAACCGACAGAATAGAGCAAGCTAGTGTTAGAGGCCCTTTTTAAAGCCGTTAGTAAATGAATAGAGTGCAAGTGTAAAAGGGGCAAGTTTTTGTTTTTAAGAATAGAGTTAGAATAGAGTGTGCTAGAGTTAGAATAGAGT